ACAGCTGGGGCGGTGGTCGCTGTCGTCTCCTCCGGTGCCGCGACGGCAGCTGTCGTCTCCTCCGGTGCAGCGACAGCAGCGTCCTGTGTCACAGCAGCAGCCCCAGCTGCTATCTTCCCCGGAACTCCCTTTGACTGGACTGCAGAAGCAGCTGATTTTCCCTGAACCTCTGTGCACTGTTTCCAACCGGCCTCCGGGCCGCCCGCCCGAGCCCCCAGGTTTTGGTCCTTCCCTTCCCTTTTTCCCTACCGAGTCCGTTCCCTGTCCCCCTTCTCACGTCACCCTCCACCAAACCCTGACACAAATATGTCTTTATTGTTGAACTTTAGCAGAGATTGAGGTCCTCCTTACACTCTGTAATCAAATCATCTATTGAGGCTGTCTGTAATCAGATGCAGATGTTTGCAGGAAAAAAAACTCATTATAAAAAGTACTGCGAGCAGTTTGGTTTGATTGAATAGTTTGACTCCAGTAACTTTTAAGGACCATCTTTTACGTCTGCTGGCCTCTTGGGGCTTGTTAATATATGGAGATTTGGTTCTTATGTTATTAAGATGATGAATGCCTTTCTCACTTTTATGCACTGTTCTAAAAATGGAAATTAATGTTCCAGAGAGAATGTGTGAGAGAGAAATTGTGCGATGGTCGTTCAGCTTCCTCCTTTTTATTCTCCTCTGCTTCTGGATTCATTTTCTTTCTCCTTTCTCTTTAGAGATGAATGATACTTTAACACTTTAACATTTAGTACATAACCCGATTCATAGCACAGTATTTTATGATCAATTTCCCAATTTCCTTTAGGATTAATCATTATATCTGAAAAGTGGAAATTGTAAGTTTCTCACAACAGATATATTATCAGTAGCTAACAATAGCTTTTTTTATGTGATCGACAGGACAATCAATTTACTATATCCACTTTCATTTGAAATATAATTTATAAGGTCAGTAAATCATCTCATTTGAGAAGCTGTGACCAGCAAATTAACATTTTGGATTTACAAATGAATAAAACACTCTAAATTTACAGATGAATCTTTACCATCAACACTTTTGCCTTCTGACACATTAAGATAACACATTGTACTATCTAGTTTTTTGCTAAGTGTATCCTGACCTTCATAAATATATTAATTCACTCGATATACCTGGCCTGGGTCCTCCTGCAGCAGCTGTAGGTTCGAGTCCAGCCTGCTTCTTTGCTGCATATCTTCCCGCTCTCTCTCCCCCATTACACTTAATCAAGTATTGAAGTGACACAAATTCAAGATTTCTCGGCTATGCTTGGGCTCCCCCTACAGGTGGGATGCTTGTCGTAAGTACGAGTTGCAGTCTGAGCCTCCCAAAGCTCAAGCTGATGGAGAAGAAACTGGCAACCTCAGAAGCTAAAGAAATAAGAACCAAGTCGGCTGACAAGGTTTTGGGAAGTGTGGCAGTAAATGTTTGCACTCATCTACGAGTAGATCCGTAGCGTACAAGCTAACAAGGTAACACAGCAAGCAAGTAGCTGATGTTTGAGCGTGATATGTATCAAATTACATCAAATTGTTTGGCTTGCTGAACTTCTATTGAGTTGGGTTTACCTGACTTTTGATGATTAACCACTGAGCCACCTACACAGCCCAACATCAAGCAAACAAAACAAGTTATGGCTTGGCTTACACTGGGTTGGCATCTGTCCTGCAGCCTTTGGCCTCTTTTAGCTCTCACCAACATATAAATAATAAATAATAGAAATAAGCTCCGATTTTTACTTGTTTGGTTTCTCACTCGCTCACTTTATGTATTCCTAGTTTTTGTTTCCTCTGACAATGTCATTTTCAGTGTCTTAGTTGTCTCTGTCTCGATGTCCGCACTGAGAAGGGCAAGCTTGTTGTGTCTGGTTGTTGGTGTGTATGTAAAGCAGGTCGTAATGTTCCAGCACGGTACACATGCCATTGTCCCTATCATAAACTTCTGTAACTTCAAAATAATTTTGAAGCTGTTTTTTAAGGTATAGGCTACAAACTATCTCGTGTCACCTTTAGAAAACAGTCAGTATGTCAAACTGGGGGAGACTCAAAACTCAGTTCCACCTTTCCTACAGGTAAAAATCCATTCATTCTGTTGTCAGTGTAAGACTACACTGCAGTCCATCATGATCCCTCTGGTTCCTTTGGTCATCATAATAGCAAATCCAAGTTATCTGCACCCACATGTATAGTACCCATCTACCCACATTAGTTCCAGCTTTATGCCTCTACAGAGGGTGTCAGCCAGGATGGTAAGAGGTGGACAACAGAGGGAACATTGCTTCAGGAAAAATAGGAGGGAGAAGGATGAGTTGTGCTGCTGTGGACTGAAGCTAATGAAGTGTTTTGAGTGACAGAGAGTCATTTCTTGTGTGTCAGTATTGATTCTGTCACTGTGGAACTGAGTTAGTATATACAGCACATGTGGTTATGTGGGGTTTCACACAAGCCCAGTAATCTCTCCTCTTCCTGTTCCTCCTTTCCTCCTTCTTCCTATTCTCTTTCTCTCCTCTCCTCAGAAACTAAGGCTGAGCTGGAGGATTTAATGGCTGACATCAAGAAGTTGGCCAACAAAGTACGATCCAAATTAAAGAGTGAGTACACTTCTTCCATTTTCCTCCTGTGTCTAATGATTACTATGATTATTTTCTGCATCAATTAAACATTTGAAGTGTTTTGATGAGCTAATTAAATTTCAAATGCTGAAAAGTGCCTGTCACTAGTTTTCTATATTCCTTTCCTTACTCGGATCAGCAGTCTGATCTTTTTGGTTGAAGTTGCAGCTGGTAATTAATTTACAAATTTTACATTATGCTGCCTACGACTATTAATCACACAGATACAGTTTGAGGGATTTTCTTCACAAATCTGAGCTCAATAGAGTTGGTTTATAAATTATTATCAAGAGGAAGAGAAAAGAGAAAATGTTGTTACAACTGTTTTCTATAATTTATTATTATTGCAGTAATTCAGAGTAAAATTAATATTTGACCACCCAGGACACTATAATCACCATTTCTGTATTTTCTCTAATGTTTATATACCAAATAATCAATCAATTAATTGTGAAAACGAATGGCAAAATCAATGAAAATGTGTTAAAGAACTTGCAACCAAAAATCCTGCATTAACCCAGTGATCCAGAATCAAAATGTAAGTGCTCCTCCTTGGTTCATGCCCCACCTGTCCACAAAATGTCATGCAAATAAGTGGTAGGTTTTGTGTAATCCTGCTAATAAGCAAACAGACAAAAACATAGCGTCCTTGGTGTAGGTGATTCATGAGTTGAACCCTGAAGCCTATATTACGCTATTATGACTGTATCTGTAACCAGCATCTGCACCTGTTTGTGTTTTTTAATTTGATGTTACGCCGCTGGTTCTTTGTCAGCACATGAGTGAGGGAATCAAGGTAGACATTAAAGCGAACTGTGAAGCTTTTGGCTGCAAACAGACAGCTCAGTTTAAACTCGTCCTGCGTCGTGTACCGCACTGGGCTGAGTGATCTGTCTTTGTTATTCATATGCACCAGCACACACTGAGTTTTATTCACATTTGTGCACACAATCTGACGAAAGTTACTGAAACATACTGTGTACGGGCACAATTGTGTGTGTGTTCTTATGATCTTCTTATTCTCTGATTTCTTATCCTATTTTCTTCCTTTTCTCATAAGCCTTACAACACTCTTTAATCTCATCATCTGGAGTAGGCCTTTATTTTGTATATTGATGTGCCCTTCCTGAAATCTTGTGGGATGAAACCTCTGTGTCCAGCACATTATTCATTTTCAAATATATACACCACACTCCTGTGCCTCCCTGCAGGGCTCAGGTGTCTAAGAATAGAGGTCAGAGATGAAAGACCTGTGTACGGTATCTTTCACGCAAGTAGAACACAGTTTCACTGCAGAGAGCTAGGAGATAACAGCCCCTATCCCCTCGTCCTGCATGCCTACAGATACATTCATATTTATGCAGAGCGGTGTGCACATTTACTGGCAATGTACAATGATACACACGCTTGACACCAGTGCATTCAGGCGGAACAGGCTCTGCATCACAGGCCTTTGTTTTATTCCAGTTCAAATCAATGTAGCCACAGGATACCTTTGCATAACCACTTGCTGTGTGTTTGTGTGTAAATGACCTCATCTTTGTCAATCTGCACCCTGAGATAAATCCTTGACAAGGAGGGAAGAAACATTATTTGCTGTAACTATCTCATTTGCAATTCACAACCCATGAATTGGATTCAGGTAGAGGATTTCTTCAAAACCAGGACAGATAATGCATATGGTGATTCTGGTAGATGTTGGAATATCTCAGTTAATATCAGCTATGGAGAGTAGAAGTTTTACAGTTTAAACACTAGAAATTTAAAAAGTGTGTGGAGAGAAACATGTTAAGAACATTTTTAAAATTTCAACCTTGCTACTTTTTTCTGTGAAATGTCACATTCTGCAAAAGTTGCAGATTTGAATGTGACAAAAACAACCATTATTTGTGAGGCCAAAGATAAGTTTCATCTTTGTAAACAAACAGGCTGTTTGAGACACCTGATGGCACTAAAATCACCAATATGTTGTTTATTTCAATCAAGCCATTTTTGTTGCATAATGAACCACTAGGAGGAGCCAATGGCATTGTGGACTATTTTGTATTTTTATTGGAGTTGGCGTACTCACCAGGTGACTGAATATATGTTTCTGTTTATCTGTGCAGGTATCCAGCAAACCATCGAGCAAGAGGAAGGACAGAACAGGTCGTCAGCTGACCTGAGGATACGTAAAACGCAGGTAGGAAGACGGCTGCTGAATCAACTGTCTCCCAGTGCATACAAGTTAACACAGAATGTATTACGCTTACTGTCATAGTATTCTGCAGTTCATTTTAAAGAAAATCAGGATCAGTCAAACTTCAATTTTGGAAAAATCACTGTCAGTTAACTTCCCCATGAAAAAGCAAAGTGTTTTGTACACCTGTATTTTTGTTTTCTTGAGCTTTCTCATTTCTACAAGCATTTTATTCAAACTTGTGCAGCCATGAGCTTCTCTTCCAATTATTTGTGTGTATTGCATTATGGAACAATCCATGAAAAGCACCCTGAAAAATTCAGTATTTACTGTGCATACTGACCTCTTTTGAGACTTTTAGTGTGGACATTGTTTAATGGAAACTTGTATATCTGCAGCTTCTCACCTCTTGTTCATTCAGCATTTAAATTACTTATCAAGTTTGTATCTATATGCTGTCATCAAACAGGTTTAAGGGAAATGTTTTGTTGTTCCTCCAGCACTCCACACTGTCCCGCAAGTTTGTCGAGGTGATGTCAGAATACAACACCACGCAGTCGGACTACAGGGAGCGCTGCAAGGGACGCATCCAGAGGCAGCTGGAGATCAGTGAGTACTGCAACATACCACATTCTAACAACATGCTAACAACACACTTACAACACACAGCTGGAGATCAGTGAGTAGACCTGGGAGACTTAACTCCTCCTCCAGCTCTATTGCTGACTGCGGACATGTCATCACTGTTTCCATCCAAAAACATATTTTCATCTATTTTCAGCCATAATGTTTGTTTTTTGTCAAGTTTCAAAGTTTTTAAAACACTGATTTAGCAAAGACATTCATGTAACATTTCATGTAACACAAGTATATGTATCCACCTTCCCTCGATACTGTGGCATCACAACATGATCACTACTGCATAGACTCTGGTGACCAATGACGACATTGGTGCAAGATGGCAAGATATGATGCAAGATATTTAGCCCATCCATATTTTATTTTGAATTTCTCTGGTGCGGTGTACCAAAACAACAGCTCTCACACTCAAAGCAGCACTCTCCAAAACACATACATCACCAACACCCACAGCCATATGCATGCTCATGCCAGGTTGCTGCGACTCAGATCTGCGCTGCTCTCACTCATGTCACCCTGCATGTGTGATATGACTTGACAGGTATTAGCCGCAGGGCTCCTGGACCAGGCAACTGACACGGCCTCTGCCACCGCATCCTGGCCATCCCTATGGTCATCGTGATAGAGTCACCCCGTACACAAAGACACATACACACAAGAGTGTGACTCACTTGGTGTTAATAGCAGAGGAGAGCAGGGGCATGTAAGTTCTGGGCCTCTGGGTGTAGACATAATTTCCTCTGGCCATCTGTCAGTTCAGAATGGATGGTCAGGTCTGTATGTGTGAGCTCCACCCAGTATACCTACACACAATGTGGTCCAATCAAAAGAAAACTAACACAAACTCTCCTTGTGGAGTTGAATACACACACACACAGGCCTGACTCACTTCTTCCTTGAGCTCCTCCAGATCCATTTTGATTTGATTTGTCAGCCGGTGGAGTCACAGGAGGCCTCAGCTCATATTACCTGTCGTCAAGGAAGGGATTAGATGCTCCGGGAGAGATTGAAGATGAAAACACAGTGGGAGAGGAAAAATAAAACCTTCAGATTACATTTGATCCATATTTTTCATTGATTTAAATACAATTGAATTCCTTTGAGGGTTTCATAGCACGAGAGATGTGTTTCTCTTGTGTTAACCCCTTTTGCTTGTTTGTATGTGAATCAATAAGTGTGTCACACACAGAGGGAAATTTAGTCTGGTCTGTGAGAGAATCAATGTTTCCTCTGCCGCTTTTGCCCTTTCCTGTACACCTGTACTCCAACCTGCTGGATACAGAAAGGAAAGCAATGCTGTGTAAGCACATCAGTGTCAAGATAACAGCATTTCCCACACATTTGTGTGGCCAACCGAGCCACAATGACCCCAAATCTAAATCTAAATAAAGAGGAAAACACTGCTGGCAGCTGTTGGTAAATTGCCACACACATTTCTGTCTGGTAAATCAGAAGATACGGTAATGGTTAGCTTAGCTTAGCACAAAGACTGAAAACAGGGGGAAACTGTTAGCATTGCTCTTTAGTGGATCTTTCATTTCCTCTAACAAGGAAGTTGCTTTCACCCCAGTATGTAGTTTTTTTTATTTGTCTGACTTTCTTTAACATTGCAAGATAAGGTATTTCTATACATTTTCACAGATTTCCTAGGGAATAATGCATGGATCTTGCATGGCTCCCTGCAAATAGTCCTTCTGTTTAGCAGATTTGTTTTCACCTTTGGTCATAGACAAACCCGGATTGGATTTCCCCGGATTTTAGTCTTTACTCTAAGCAAAGAAAACCATTTCCTGGTTGTAGTGACACATAAAATGTTAATGCTGTCATTCAACCTTCAGCAAAGCAAATATGCATATCTCCCAAACTATTCCTTTAAAGACACATCTCTTTGATGAAAATACTACTGTCACATTTCAGATCTGCACAATAGCAGTTCTGTATCATTTCAGTTAATGATTTATTAACGTATCATACATATATTAACATCCATATCCAGTGATTAGACAGGCTGGGGAGATTAAGGGAGATGGTCATTTGACTGGTGTGTATTATTTACCAGCGGACGCTCCTATGGCTGGTGCATTCACAACTCCAGGGAAAAAAAAGAAAAATTCACAAACGTGTTCTTCATGTACAACAAACAGAATGGCCGATACATTTGCAGATAAAGCTGCACATGCTTCTCTCATTCCTTTGCACGTGAAATTGCTGGGAACAAAAGCACTAATCGAAGATTTGTGTGATTTGCCTTTTTCTCTCCGTTCCTCGGGTGTCTCACTTCATTTGTGTTACATAACAATGGAAATGAAATAATACTGTTACTGGTAGCAACATAGTATGAATGATTTAATTGCCCATAAATGCTAAGTGTGAAGTGAGACTTCTTGGCTTTGTATTAGGCTTCTAGGGTTTGGGTCTCCATGGTAACAAATAAGAGCCTCCCTCTGAGTCTGTCAGCGCTTTAAAAAAAAGCCTGCGTATGGCATTTGTGTGTGTAGGAAGTGAGATAAATAGGGTACGGTAGCATTAGAGTGCCTTCGTTTCCTTTTTTTTCCTACACAATTATCCATGAGTCATTGTCGTTCCCCTCCGTCCTTCAACTCTAACTCTGACCCTCTTTAATGTTGTAGTTCTAGCCTTAATGATAGAGAGATTATTTATCATCAGAGAGGCTGTGGGAGAAAAGGGGAATTGATCACAGTAATGAGGTGAACGTGGTCCCTCGCTCCTCCGTGCACCGTGTCTGTCCTCTCATTTGTCAAACGGCAAAATGTCATTGCTGAACATGAGTAGATTCTTAAGCACAGTAATGACACAGCTGGACCACTTAACCGCAATTAAATGAAAATCGTCATGTGTAATTTGTGTTACATACATATGTGCCAAGTGAAATTTAAAAAAAGTCAAACGGTTGCATGTTTATGCAGCAGTAAATGTTAGAGAGCAGTTTCATCAGTATTCTGTTCATGTAGGCAATCATTGGCTCTGACTCTCAACAATCAACTGTCACCAGCAAACTACCTGTCCTGCCACTGAGGCCCCCACACCCACCACCAGGTGTCATCACACATAAACACACATGCAACTATCACTGATGAGGTGATGAGGTCCTAAATAGATGTTGCCTCCTAAAGTGATATCTGGCAAAGATGGCTGTGTAGAACCATTCAGGTATATTTTATATTTCTTTCATCTACTGGTAGTTGGCAGCTTAATTTGTGCAGAAGACCTTTAAACATACAAGGGATATTCACCATATTGTGCTATATTGTAAAATCGTATCATATATTGCATTATATTGGCAACACCCCTGGTAGTTACTTAGGGATAATGGATGTGGAGAGAGCAACAACTTCACATTCAGTGATCACACCACATAAATACTACATGAGCCATAACTGATAAAATCCTTCCCCCCAAATAATACTTAAAGTGCTTTTTTTAACATGTTATACTTCTACTGTGCTCACGCAAGGTTCCATGACACTAACCACTTAAACATCTCAATCAAGAACCAGGACAAATTTTCATTTGGACTCAAAGATTACCTGATTAAAACTCAGTGATCAAAAGTCACAGTGACCTCATATGAGTCTGGAAAAAACTATGTATGTAGACTGGAAATGCACTGGTTGGTGGAGGTATACAACCACAGGATGGCAATTGTTGTTTATATAATACATAACTTTGATCACTTTCATCATAGACAGTGTTGTTGTGATATATTGAGCATTCATTATTTGTCAGTGGTTGAACTAGTTGCACGATTAAGAATTTATATTGCTTTCGCTCTCTTTCATGTCTACCCTCTGGTGTCTCACATAATTTGACAAGAAGTTAAATGACTTTTCTTTCTTCTTTATATGGCTATATATATGTTTACCTGGATAAAGACATGGTCTTATGAACAAAGAGACAGTATCTGCTCAGCTCTGTACCCCAGCTAACAGTTTGGGGGTATGCAGGGTTAGAGACAGAATATACTGTATGTACATAACACAGCTCAACGGGATTTGAAATGTCCAAATCGATGATGCAGATTGAGCCTGCCTGTGACTTACAGTGTCAGTGGGGCAGAAATGGAGCCTGTGAGAAGCAGCTCTGCAGGCGGACTCAGACACAAGGATATTAATGCATGTGCAGGGGGAATGATTATGAAGTAAGACAACTCTGTCGGGGAAAATAAAGATGGACGAGGAGCAAGCACATCAGCAGCGAAAAACAGTAAGATTGCACAAGCTGGGTCAGTGGATTAAATAATAATGATAAGCTCAATAAAAAAACTATTTATACTATTTATAGCACTTTTCAATGAGTTATTACATGGTTGAAACTGGATTAACACATTTCAGGATTGAGGCAAATTAACATTAACATTTAGGGATGAAATAATACAGTAATAAAACATTTAAATAAAGCATTTAATTGAAAATGAAGCAATAAAGAAAAAGCATGTCGTTAATTAACTTGTGTACTCGAATTAATAATGAGCTGGAGGGTTTTCTGAATAACCAGGTGAGGATTCTGTTTTAAATCGAGTCTTAATTTCTGGGGAAATGTAGCGCACTTTGTAAATCTAACATCTATCATGAGCACTTTTCCTGAGTAGTTTATTTGAATTTGTTTGTTTGTCTTTTAAGCCGGGAGAAATACAACCAATGAGGAGTTGGAGAGCATGTTGGAGAGTGACAACCCAGCTATCTTCACTTCAGGGGTGAGCGATACAACAAATGCAAACTGATGCACTGATTATTTTATCTATCTATCAAATTTGACTATTTCTCTCTGTTACACCATCTTAGATCATTATGGACAACATCACCCAGCAAGCGATGAACGAGATCGAGACGCGGCACAATGAGATCATCAAGCTGGAAAACAGTATTAGAGAGCTCCACGACATGTTCATGGATATGGCCATGCTGGTGGAGAGTCAGGTGAGGACGCTGATCCTTTCTCGCTCAGACAAAATATTTGTCTCAAGCTAAATACATCCATATATTTGTGATCCACCTGCTGTTGTGGATGTTTGAGTTTTAAAATTAATAAAATAACTAATAACCATAGTGCATACCTTTGCCAAGGTCCGACAGTCCACTTCTGAAACCACATTTAAATTGACTAGATCCAGATTTTTATTTGGATCTCCACCAAAATTGCACACACTAAACAGTCCCCCAAACATGTCTGATATTTTCCATCAAGAACCATGAATTATTGTTTGAGAAATTAATGAAAATGTTGAAAACTGGACATCTTTCAATTTTAAAGAAAAAGTGTCCTGGATCCTCCCCCTGATCTTGATCTGTGTTCTGATTTGTGTTCAATACAATAAAGTCATTAACCAGCTAACCTGCTGAAGCTCCACTTCAAACACATAGAAATGAATGATCTGTTCATTTACATACAAGTTGTGGAGTGCATACAGTAGGAGTTTTCAGCTGCATTTGGTTGTTTGAAAAATCTCTGTGAATTTAGACAGAATGATTTTTCACTTGATTTTGAATTTGAGTTTTCTAATCATCCGTGTTTGGGATTCTGCCATTCCACCACAATTATTAGCTTCAGTTAATTTGTAGGCCTGTGTGTGTGTGTGCGTGCAAGCAAGCGTGTGTGTGCTGAACCCCCACAGAGACTCTGATTCCCTCATCAGAAATACTCAGTCTGAATAATGCAAAAAGAAATCGGAGCAAGAGAAAATGTAGAATGATGAGTGTCGTTGAATTGCGGCGATGGCACAAAGCAATAACACGCTTTTCTTCACGATTTTAAATGTGGGAGTGATAATTGTTGAATTGCCTAATAAATCAGTCATATTGTGTGTGTTTGTGTTTATACTCACAAATTAATCCTTTAAATGTAAAAAATTCAATGAACTAACCCCTCCTTTATTAAGCCATGCAATTCAAGATTATACCCCAGTCTGGTCTGTTTGTTAATTTTGCCTTCAGCTATGCTCTCTCTGTCTCCGACACTCTCTATTGTCTTTCCCTCATTTTGTTCTCATCCACAACACTGTCACCACGACAATGACTCTAAGCTCTAGAGAACAGAGAACAGCGCGCCCCTTCTAATATGGAAAGGTAATTTTCTTGTGATTCCTCATTTTTTTATTTATTTTATACTTATACTGAGAAACAGTTGCTTGAATGCATGCATGGAGAGATGTACTGTTTCACCCTAACATCCATTTGAATGGAAAAATAGCTTAATAACTATACTGGGTCTTTATTGATTGATTGATTGATTAATGCTGATTTAAATTATTGACTGTATATAGAGATGGGAGACACGAAAGCTCCACTAAAGTGAAGCCAAGTGTCTTTCCCCCTGGTGGCTGACTGCAGAAAAGGCCATAAATCCCACCTCCTCCATGTTAATGGCTGGAACTAAAACTTGAAACTAAAACATTGGGTAAATGCTTCTGTTATTTAAGGTTTGTTCATTTTCCTGGTAAATTTTGTTTTAATTAGTAATTTGATGCAATAGAAACGGGGTGAAACGTCTTGATTGACAGCTATGACTGACTGTGACTGGTCAAGTGCATGTATCAATGGAACCTTGCTGCCGCGGCTTCATCCCCGATCGCTACTACGTAGATTCTGGCTCTAAATGTTATATTTTAGCTTCATTTCTGGATAGTGGGAGAAGGTGGAGATGCAACATCCATTGTATTATAGTCTGTGGTTTAAACATTACTTTTGAAAGGCTCATACAATAAACATGAATCTATATGTCATTTTAGAATATATAAATAAAAGAGCTGTATAAAAGTAATGCATTTATCATCCATCATATTTCTATTGTAATTCTTATTCTAAAATTAATCTATGAAATCCAGTGCTTCGTGTTCTTGCTGATATGGGGCACAGTCCCACATGTGCGAATGTAAGAACAAATATTGTGTTTTGAAGTTCGCCAAACTCCATATGAAGCCATGCCGCAATTTACCTCTGGCACAAAAAAGCAAATGGTTTTTTCGCCTCCTTGCTTGCCCTGATTGGAAGTGAATGGGAGGAGAGGGTTTGCCATTGAAACATTTGCTTTTGTGTGTGCAGGCAGTGAGAGCCCTTACGCTCTCACCGCCTCTTAAATGACTCCTCTTGTTTGGTTGCAGGGTGAGTTGGTGAACAACATTGAGCAGAGTGTGCTCGGCGCTCAGGAGTATGTGGAGCAGGCAAAGGAGAGAATCCCAAAATGCAAAAAGTTTAAAAAGACCAGCAAACGGGTGAGATACAACATACACACAGTCTACAAACTGACTCTCATGTTATCATTTCTCTTCCCCCCCTCTCTCTTTTTCTTTCTTTCCCTCTTTTCCCCTCACCTGTATCCACTCCTTCTCCTGCTTCCACATCTGGTCCCCTCTTTCTTCCACCTGTCTGCATGTCTTCCACTAACCTCTCTTAGGGGGAAATGATAGACCGCATAGAGTACAATGTGGAGCACTCAGTAGACTATGTGGAGAGGGCAGTATCAGACACTAAGAAGGCGGTAAAATACCAGAGTAAAGCGCGGAGGGTGAGTCACAAATACAACAAAACGATGCATGTTCAAAAACAGCCTGTCGCATGGACAACTTTAGAGGCATTGCATGTTCTGTAAGTGAAGTGCAGTTATTGTTGTGCGAGTGTGTGTGCATGCTCACTTGTCATGTATTCTGCATGTCGAAGATGTGTGTTGTGAGTGTATTTGATATAGTCTACAGCACTGATACCCAGCCAGGGGTATGCATACCTTTTTCAATTCTTTTTATTTAAAGACACATGAAAAGGCCAACAAATTGACATACAGAAAATACAAATAATAAGAAAAAAAAAGGACAATAACAAAGATCACTAAATGAAACTTCTACGGCTACGTTCTGCAGTTAACTGGGTGTGCAAATGAAAATCGTGCAGTAGCCTCAGCTAATATAACAAAATAAAATCATTATTTGGTTAAAAATAAATAAACTAGAATAGCACTCAGAAGAACGCATACCTCCACAAAGACACAATAGTTCCCATAAATTCAATCAAGATGCACCACATTTCTCACTCATAGATATCAGTTCCTTAAATATGCCTCAAAAACATCAAAAACACAATATCTTTGCCCCCTGATCTGGATCCACACCAAAATGTAATGGGTTCTTTCCACTAACTATTGTGTTCATCTGTCCAGTGGTTTTTGTGTTATCCTGCAAAATAACAAAGAAATAAAAGCAGATGAAAACAGTAGCAGACAGACGGCACAGAGAACAGTGTGAGTCACCTGTAACACCTGAACATCACCTGCAGCTTAGAGGACGTGAAATAAGTAACTGAACAGAAGCTGAAATAGACAGAAGTAATGGATACATGTTTAAATTATAAAAATACAAATTCCAGCTCTTTCTCTTACACTTTGCTTTTCATACAGATTAAACTAGACAGATGCAACATGCTCAATTTTTTATGTGGACAGAGTGAGGCTAGCTGTTTCCCCCTGTTTTCATTCTTAATGCTAAGCTAAGCTAACCACCTGCTGGCTCCAGCTCATCCTTCACCATATATGCCAGAGTGGAACAACTGTGCCCCCTCTTGGTAAATATCTGTAACAGCACTCAAAGGTGGAGGAATTTTATACACCACATGACCCCTACTCCCTTCAAGGGTCCTGATCTGTATAATTATTTACCCACTTATAATAAAACACTGTGCAGCAGCAACATTTCCTCCTCTCATTTTTTTTTCTAATTCTCTCTCCTTCATCCACTGAATCATGATCTGACTCCAGTCTTCTTCTTTCCCCTCTCATTGTCCCCCATGCAGAAGATGATCCTGATAGGAGGTTGCGTTGCACTATGTCTGATCATCCTCATTATCTCCCTCACTATTGGACTCACTTAGGACCATAAGAAAACCCCACAGAGCAGACAGGACATGATGTGATGTACAACACAGTACAAAGTGTTCAGGTGTTACAGTGGCTTCTGTAATGTGCAGTCAGGAACTACTGGTGTAGTAAGAAATAGGCATTTTCATGTGGTCATTTTATACATATACTATTTATTCATTCAATTTAAAGAAACTATATTTAAACGTATTGTATTGTAGCGTTTTCTGGAAATGAAATGTCTTCTCGAGATAAGACATTTGGCTCCTATCACACAGGGTTTCAGCTTTGCGTCCATCTCATATTAGAAATGCCAAAACATTCTCACTCTCACCTCCTCCCCTCAGACAAAACTGAAGGAGACTCCACAGTCAAGTTTACTTTAAATCGACTTTGTGGATTTTCACATAAAAATGAAACAATCCCAGTATAGTCCATACACAGCTTATTTCAAGAGCTATCTGTCTGCATTACCCTCTACAACCACTAGATGTCCTTCAAATGACTGATTCCTATCTTCCACACAGTGTCTTTAAATACCAGAGTGAGTATGTTTGTTGCATGTGTGAATATATATATATATATATATATATGTTGTTTAATGTACTCAGAACAAATGCCGGAACTAAAGATTTATGGTTTTAAAGGTAGACTATGCATCCAACCCGCACTCCATACGAAAACTTAATGAGATACATTTCTTTCGTGCTTTTTTGTGATCTGCAATTTGTTGGGAATACTAAAAATACTATAAATATGTTAAGTCATATTTCTAACATGTGTTCCTTGCCCCCCAACTGCTGCCATGGATTATCTGTTGTTAACACTGATCAGAAGAAAATCATGATTCTTATATGCTGTGTGGTTCTTGGGATTGTCATTGCTTCCATCATCGGGGGAACGTTGGCCTAACCCTCAGCCCCGGTTACACATGCACACACAGAGAGAAAACAGCAGATCTACAATTTCTGTTTTCCTGAATGCAATCTACAACACGTTTAGCACAAGGTGCGGAGCCTGCTGTACGATAAACACATTTTCACATCAGTGTACAGGGCCAGAGATGTTTTCGCATGAGTTGCTATTTTGTAAATGTGCGGTGCTGCGAACTGTTTATCTGGGTGTTTTGTGTTGTCAAAGATATGATGTTTCCAAAAGTGGATTCTTGAATGGAACAAGTTACTAAACGCTACATATCGCTATACTAATACATTCCAACTTCCAAATATTCAGTTGAAATGTCTACTTCGTGCTGTTCAGGCAAAGTATCAGGCCACTTATCAGCAGTGTTTTCAAAGCCACGTTATCTATAGATCTGTTTCTTTTCACGTGTTAATTTTCTTTACTCTATGTCTTGAATGCCCCCCAGCACCCTTCAAAAAGCCCTGCATGTTTTAGTTCAGTGTAAAACACCGCTTTTGTATTCTGTTGTGAAAAGAGGAAGGGGACAGTCGTACTGATGTGGGATTATTTTGCTCGTAGAATCATCATCACACTGCCAAACGTATTCAGACGTCATCGGGCCTTCCCAGTCGTGCAGCCTCTCTGACTGTGGCTCCGGCGTGAGTGACTGTGTGTATGCATGCATCAAGTGAGAGGTGATGCGCGTGTTTGTTTGTTTGTAGCTGAACGTGCAGAGTGTGAGTCACAGGATGAGAACGTGAGTTGTTTTGTATAAAGTGTAAACTGATATATATG